CAGAGTGTAGCAACTGTTCACAGATATGAAGCATTTTATTCTTACTTGTCACTTGTCAACTACGAACAGACCGCTGTAGCAAAGAACAGAAATGCTTCGGCTTATGCGAGCAATCCCAGCCGGAAAGCTGGCATTATCACATTATCAGCCAGTGCATATAGTAAACAACTACACTGATAAATGTACTTAACAATTTTTCAACAGTAAATGAAAACGATTTCTTTTTACATCATTGCACATCACTGTCTTCCTCATTTTAATAAATAGCAATGCAGAAGTTTGGAGAAGGTGGCGCCTCCACTGGTTCCGTAATAGTCGTCGATTCCGGTGTTGTAGGTTCCGTTGTTGGAGAAGCCTTCGCATGGGCATCCGTAAACAAGCTCCAGAAGTCGGCCTTACCACCGAAGAGACTATCCACTTGCTGTAATCTAATTTTTGATTATAATTTAACAATGCAACAAAGCCTGTAATTAATCTATGATTTTCCAAAATCGCAGAATTTCTGATAAATGGGAGCCTGTTGACAGAGTATTCCATCCATTTTGAAAAAATCACAAGGAGAATAGCCCTGCCCACATCTAAGTGGCCATAGATAAAAGTGAATAAGGTAAAAGAACATAAATCCAGGAATAATAACAGTGACAATAATAATAGCATATGAGAACAGAAAGATATCACGACTACTAAGATAAATTTGTGTATATACTACTCGATAATTAGCAAGACACACCGCTGTAAAGGACAATTTCTTTTTCAAAGAATGAACGATTTTCCAAACTATGCTAAAATGGTTTGATCAAATAGTTTTCATATATAATTCCAGGTTAACAGAAACACTTAGAGCTTTTGATCCTTCCCCTCGATCTTCCTTCTCCTCGTGTCTGCCCTGCCTACCGATTACCCCACATAAAAAAAATTATAATTAACGACCCACAGACTGTGAATTTTTTAAGATCTAACCTGTTGAATGGTAGCAGACAGATACTTTTGGTAGGCAGTCATTTTTTGATCGAATATTTTCAATTCCTCCACTTCCTCAGGCGTCAAGTCCCGTGCATACTCGCGTCCCACAAATACTTTGTTATTCTGCAACAAATTTCTATTCTTCGCATTCTTCGTCCTTATCGATCGACTATTCAGCTCATGACTTTTGGGCTTGGTTATCTGTGTCTCACGCAGTGGCTTAAACAGGACTTTTAGACGGGAGATTCTAACGAGAACGAACATCGGCAAAACGTTTCTCATTTATTGATCATTTGTATAACAGAAAACATAAGAAAAGTTCTGAAACTTCCACTACCTGAAGCGCAGCTGCCGCTATTTCTGCGTTTTTTTTTACATATACTGCCTTTATGGCTCGCAAGTCAGTGCATGTCGGTGAGAAGTCTACGACTACACTTGAGCGCACAAAAAAAAATGGCTTATATAAGTACTGTTCAATTGAAAAGAAGGTAACGCAGCGGAGAATAGAAGCTCGATATTTTTATCAACTCAAATCGATTCCAACAAATTTGATACCCCCAAAACGGGACAGAAGACAAATACGAAATTTGTCTGGGATTTCAGCTGATCGCACAGCACAGGCTGGATAAGATAGGTTGCCATTTTCCGAACATAACTGCTTCTTAACCTGTTGCCGTAGGTCTAATTCAAGAGTCTATAACAAAACTCCAGAAAGACACAACTTAAAACCCGAATTTTAGTATTTTCAAATGAACTGCTGAAAGTCGAATTTAGGTAAATATTGGGCCAGGTGTGACTTGCTCAGCCCTCTTGTTCACCCAACTGGTACCTGCAAAAGCCTACAGCAGAGAAGATTCGTTAGTGACGAACCAGACCGGAGTAGGCAGCGCTGCACTAGAAAATGTACTAGTAACACAAAAATGCAAAATTTGTGTATAAAAGAAACAGTTATAGCAAAATGGTACACAATTCGGGATGAGCACTCTTTTACCGGTTTCCTGAGCAGCATAATCTGAGATCTTAAAGTTGTTTGGGTGCAAAAGTTTTCATAATGGATACAGAGCGCCGTTTGTTTCAGCGAAGTCAGTCCCACAGAACAATTTTATAGCCGCTGAATAAGCACTGTTTTCTTTGGATACCATGTCTCCAGTGGCCAATCATTTTATTTGGAACAACTTGCTCTTCATTTTCTAATATGTTGAAGTCAGAATCCCTTCTGTATTCACTCTCAGAAAGAGTGAGAACAGCTTCCGAAGTAGTTCAAACGATAGCAACTGCTAACAGCAATCTTTGATAAGAAAAATGTCGATGGTTTCTTACATGGATTGCTTACAAGCGATACCAATTTACCACCGAATGGTAGGGACTAATTAATTCCCCGGCATATGCCAGTACCAATTTACCACTGAAATGAATGAACCAATCGCAGAAGGACTGTTTGTCTTATCGGAAGTTCAGCAAGACAGCTGTATCGCTTTCCAGACGCTATGTCCACCGGTAGCTTCGAATATTAGTCTGTTATAAGTGTGGTATTTGTACTGTCAAATTTAAAATGAAATTTTTGAAAAAGGGAGGTAAAAACGAGAGCAAGCTGAAAGATTATTTTAGAAACTATAGAGAGTTAGTGAATTATTACTTCCGTCTTATCGTTGGCTCTTAGTGAGCTAAGCACTACTGCTAGCAGCTTTACTCCATTACTGCGTGTGCTTTGCTCACAAATTTGCAGCGCTCCATGACAGCCTAGGAAGCGTGTTCAAACTCAAGTCATTGAGTATTACCTGAACCATGCATCCGTCAAAATAATACTGTGTTGTGTCACTAGCGGAACAGAACGATGGTTTCTTCGGAGGCTTCGGAAGATCCTTCGATGAGTTTGACAGTAAAGCCTTGCCGCCTTTGCGGTGCCTGGCTTGCTGCCATTCCTTTCGTTTTGCTTCCAGTGACAATTTCACTTCCTGTAAAAGTACTCCGAAAGTGATGCAGATCTCCCATCTCAAATTTATCATTTCAAAATTCAGAAATTCCGAATTCCAAAATCTCAAGCAGATGTGAAAAGACTTCGTGCAGGCTGACCTCCTTGTATCTTTTTGAGTCCTCTTCATAATTAATCAGCTCTTTCTGCTCCTCACCCGTCAATTCTCGCAGAAAGAAACCATTCGCAAATAATTTATTACCCTGCAAGTTTCATATTATTGCTTGAATCATTAAAATAATAATAATTCGTCATTTTCGCATTAAGATAGACTTTTTTTTGCCAAAGTGTTTTTCAGTAATAAATTTCCAAACAGCACTGCAAATGCGTGGCTAATTCAAAACAAAAAACTGGCATTAAAATACTGCAAAAATACCGTAACAACGCATCCGGCGCTTCCACCAATCCCGGCAACACTGAATCCGGAGAATCGTTTGCTATGTCGTCTAGTCGGGCTTGCTTCAAGCACTGCTATCGTCAACGTTACCACACTGCATATTGGAAACAACAATGATAATGGTAATAAACATCTTCTGGATACATGATAAATGTTGCACTGGTTTTTCATGATTTCATGCAACATAGAAATATCAGTCTCTCAACCAGTCCTCCACGCCCTTCTTCCTATTTCGAATAAGAAGCTAACAGCAAAAAAGAAAAACTTAACTCTAAGCAGTAACATTTTAAAGGTTGCTCCTATTAATTAGCGCGAAATCACTATGGTCGTTTCAAATATACAGACGTAAAATTTCAGCAGGACGAAGATCCAGGCAATTCACGATTAGTCAAAAAAATCTCTTTACTGCAAGAAATGGGAAGTTGGGGGACGGGGAAGGCAAAATTTAAACAGTTAAGTGAGTTAACCGGTAACTGAAAATTTAAGGGGGGGATAAAAGGCACTAAATTTTGTGGATGAATACCAGAACTGAAGAAAAAATTTCGCTGTGTTGTGGAAATTTCGTTTCGGTGAAAGTGTATGCAAAATGTTGAACTGATTCCAATGAAACTTATTTTAGTTTGAATAATATCCACTCTCCTTTTCTAAGGGCGTCTTGAGCACCTCACGGATCTTAACCACAGACATAACATATTACTTAACGAAATCTCTGCAAAAGAAATCTCTTCAAAAGTTTATTGTATTCCAGAGCCCAGCATACCTCATTTTTGTGATAATGCCTAACTTGCAGTGTTTCAAATGGATTTTGAAAACAAAATAAGGTGCGAAACTTTTGTAGACCAGCACTCCACACTAGTGTTTACTTTGAATTTCTTCAGCTAAAAAAGCAACGAAATATGCGCGATAAAGAGAAACAACAGCAAAGATATGCGCTTCACTGCTTTTGATTTATTAAGCCAAATCAAAATTAGGACCTGATGCAATAAACGCAGCA